CTGAGCCTCTAAACTCAGTCAGCACTGCTGTTGTGGTTTAACTCCAGCCGGCCCCTAAGCCCCACACAGCCACTCATTCAACCCCCCCCCCCCCCGATAGGATGGGGAAGAGAATTGGAAGGATAAAGTGAGAAACTCCTGGGTTGAGATAAAGACAGTTCAATAGGTAAAGCAAAAGCCACATGTACTAGTGAAGCAAAGCAAGGAATTCTTTCACCACTTCCCATTGGCAGGCAGGTGTTCAGCTATCCCCAGGAAATCAGCATGCATAATGGTTACTTGGGAAGACAAACATCATCACTCCTAAAGTTCCCCCCTTCCTTCTTCTTCCCCTAGTGCTACTGCTGAGCATGACATCATATGGTCTGAAATATCCCTTTGGTCAGTTGGGGTCAATTCCCAACTCCTTGGTACCCCCAGCCTCCTCATTGGTGGGCTTGTGTGAGGAGCAGAAAAGCCTTAACTCTGTGTGAGCACTGCTCAGTAATAACTAAAACATCCCTATATTACCAACACTGTTTTCAGCACAAAACCAAAACATAGCAACATACTGTCTAGTATGAAGAAAATTAACTCTATCCCAGCCAAAACCAGCACATTCTCCACCCCTAATTCCATACCACTTACATCATGCTAAGGTAATACACTATCTGATACAACCTCATTAATCACCACCCTTCTTCCCATCCTTTGATATAATACACAGATGTCATTTGCCTTGTCTATGAACCACCCCTGTAATATCTCCAAAGCCAGAGTTTTCTTCCACATTTCAGAGTACCTTGCATAACCAGTTCTAAAGTTAGTGTAACAAATTAAAAAGCAGTAACAACCATATTCAACACAGAGCTCATCTACCATTCTCTCTCTCTCCACATGCTTTTCACAGTGAGGATGTGTGTGGCTTTGTTTTCCATGGAGAAACCTCTCTGAGATTTCTTACGTAGTATGACGTGTTAAACTAAGCAGAAAACAGACTGCACCATCTACTCCAAGAATCCAGGAAAGGAACCTATGGCCAGAGTATGTCCACCATTTTCTTCCACAGTGGCAGTGCACATATTTATTAGGGAAAGTTAACAGGACATTAAAAAAAGGGTGGAGAGTGAACATGAATCCCTGGGTAGGGCTGGTAAGCAAATCCCTGGTGAGTCACCTGTAGACTGATGGAAGAAAAGAACAGTTGAGACTATGGGAGAAAGGTGAGAAAAGCATGAGCAGGACAAGCCAAGGAGAGCAACTAAACCTCTCCAGAGATAAATGGAAAGGGTGTGCCAGATCCTCTGCTTCTGCTTAAGTTAATGACAACTTGGTTTATGTTAATTGCAGACTGTCACTACTTTACATTAATTGGACAGATTATATCCATTGTCAGAACTGTGGGTCAAATGACACATATGTTGGATTTACTGTTACCAGAGGCACTTTTAGTGACCAATCCATTGGTATAGGTTTTTGGTACATAATCAGCGTAAGAGTCAGAAGAGTATTTGTCAGACAAATCCTTGACTGTTGTGATTAATTTCCAACAATCTCTCACCTATAAAATGAACTGGTCTGTATCAACTCTACAGATCTATCCTAAATTAATTTCCAGATTATTTGATACTGAGATGTCAAGATAAGCCTCTGGGATTTACACACATTACAACTGAGAAAAACAGACAAAAAAGCAGGGAAGAAAAAAAATGCTTTCAACAGCTCTGTAAACATTCCCTCCTGAAAACAAAAACACTTTGTTCTAGTTCTAGGCATATCCAAACTGTGGTCCTTTAATAGACTCCTGGTTTACATTAACAATGGAGACAACTGCTTGAGTTTCTGTTACTAAAATACTTCACAACTTGCTTCTGCAGTTCCTTTTCCTTCTTACAACTGAACAGGAGAGCTTGCTCCTTCCTACCTACGTAGGTAGGCTATTTTCTCTGCACCATCTGGGAAAGTCAGAAGTCCTCTGACTTCTATTTGTCAACCTACAAGAACCACTTGGAGCAACCACCCATGTGACCAACAAACATATTTACTTAAACCCTTCTGGGTTTTGTGATATTCTCATTTACAGATATAGTTCCCTCAGCAGTCAGTAAAATCTCACAGCCTGGTAATTTTCTAAATTTCACATAAGCCAGCTAACAGAGTGACATGACTTTCTTCTGTACATTTTTTGTTATTACCGATTTCACCCAGTGGTAGAGAGGCTGTATGGCTGGCTAAGCTGAACACCGGAACATCATTTGAATGCCACTACTCCCTGGAAATCAAAAATTTCAGTCTAAGCAGTAGCAACAATAACTCCAGACTATGCAAAGTTTTGAGAAAAATACCTGACCAATATCTTTTGAACCAGGACAACCTTTACAGCAGCTATGTAATAGTGTGCACTGGTAAACGTTTAGTGAAGTAGCATGTTCAAGTTTGACATTCATTGTTTCAGTCACAAGGAGTTATAATGAGTGAAAACTAAAAACTGTCTCAGAAGAAGAAAAAACTGTTTGATATTAGCACTCTGCTTAGCAACAACTCCAGTAAGAGAGACAGGGCAAGGGAAAAAAAAGCCTTGACCCCAGTGACACACCTAGTCATCCAAGGTACAGACACCCTCCTCACCTTCACCCGATGAGTATCAAAAGCACTAAATGTCCCCTCAGAAAACTCCTCCCTTTATCAGTAGTCCCTTGCTCTAGTTTACCCAATCGGAAACAAGAAACTTTCTCCAAATATTTTAAAGTAACACAAGAAGATCCTGGTATTCTGATACTCCCTTTATGCAGAGGTGGGTGTAACCGAAAAGAGAAGCAAGCTCTGCTACTTCTGGCCATCACATGTAGCCCACTGCTGAAGGTATATGCACATTAGTTGCTGAAAGCCTAGTTTGTTGGGTGGCTTCTTTAATTGCTTAACTGAGACTAGCGTATATTTATTTAATACAGCTAACTTGTCATGTAAACAAGGTATCATTTGCCTTCACTATGTACAGATGAATTTATATTCATTATGAGTACTGGCACAGAATTAAACAACGTTCTGTGGGCAGGAAATGCAGCCTTTTCTTTTCTCCTAGTCTGCTGAAGCATAAAGATACAGATCTAGGGTGTGTAAACAGCTTACTACTGATTATGAAGATGTAACTTCATTAAACATCCTGGATATTTTGACAGGGAATGTGTTTCATACCATCCATAGAAGGCCAGTATGTTGGCTTAAGTACCCCAACTTTGCCATAGTAAGCTACCACTGATTTCAGTCCAGAAATCAAATCCAGATAAGACTTCATAAACAAACCCTTTTTTGTTTATTTTACAATACTAAATGAGTGAGGGTCTAATATACTTAGTGCTAAACAAAAGTGAAACTGAAATAAATTGGAAAAAAAAAATACACTATTCAGTTCAGCAACACCTGAATTGAACATCGTATTATATTGTACCATTCTTTTACGGAAAAAAAAAATACTTACAATTGCAGGGTAGGATTTTGATAAGAACCCAAGGTAATCAGGCATCCAGCTGTGATCACATTTTACAACTAGGACACCTTCTCCACCTTGTCTCCTTCCCTTGTTTCAGCAGAAATGACAAACATGAGCAGAGACTGCTGAATTGAGTCTTACCAGGCATGTAGAAGTTAATACTGTCCTGTTTTATACAAAGTCCTTTCTGCATCCCTAAAAATCCTGGTATATAACTTCTTATATATAGCTGTCAGGTGTCTCTTATGAAATCTCCCACTGAGCACCAACTCTCATTCCATTTCTTACAATGAAGACATTCTGATCCATCAGCTACCTTCATTCTTGGCTGAAGATGAAAATGAACTGAGGACAAATGATATGTGTATAGCAAGTGCTGAATTGTGAACATTTTTGTTAATCTTTTACCATATTAAAGGTCCACTGCCCTTGGAAAGAAACAGAAATCTGCCCAGAGCAATTCATACTACCTACCTCTGATGCCAAGCTAAAAAAAAAAAAGAAGTAGCAACACTGCCTGTGTTTATTGAAGTATATATTCATTCCAGCCTTCGAAATTATAATCCAGTAGAATTGCAAAAAAACAGTGTGCAAAAAAAAGTACATTAAACATATACTGGCAAGCCTAATAGGCCCAATTCCTTGCCTGTTTCTCTAATCTGTAGTCCTTATTAACTCCATGGATGTGAATGCAATTACACAGGAATGATACTGAAATGATGTATCAGTCACAGGCCATAATCACTGTAACATTTATTTTCTCCTACAAAGTTGGTGTCTGGTTGTCTGACTGAAATTGATTCTGGTATTTTCTGTAAGGCAAAATCAGATTATACAGAGAATTTAAAAGTAGATTTCAAGGTTTAACCCCATCCCTAATAAAATACAGGATACAGACTATGAGAAGCTAGCTTTATGTTCCTCAGATATGTGCCTAATGCTTTTGTCAGCACCACACAGAAGTGTTTCCATGGCATACACTCAGTGTGACCATGTGGTACTGCAGGACCCTTCAAGGTTATTAGTCTGTTCTTTCCACAGGAAGATGAGCTGCCCCAAGAGGCAACCTAATAGTGGATTCTTACATATGAAATACTCCACACATCCTTGGACTTCAGAAATTAGCAGGAGTTTTTTGCTAAGGAGCTGCCCGGCACCAGTTACAGTTTTGAATGACTTAGAATAGCTACTTACATGCCATCTGCATAACTGTAAAGCAACACCTTATTAAATTTGTTCCAGGACCTGTTATTTGTGGAGGAGGAGTTGTATTTTATTTGCATGATATGTTTCTTTATTAGACTGAATCTTAACAAAATATACGTACATATACCTATATACTCCTCCCAAAATGCAAATACCATTGGCCAGTTTCTGAGAAAGGAAGAGGATCCTCTATTTACCTGTTCATTTGCTAAAATCCCCAAAACTCCACCTTTCTAGAGTCTCTGAATCAACCTGGGACTGAAGCCAAAGTCACCTACTATATAAGAGTGACAGAGCACCGGTAAACTACTCCTCCTGACCAACTTTAGACCTGACATACTTGTGCCAGACTCCACTCAAGATGGGGTCTGGCAGGGGGATATGGGTACCAGAATGGGCTTTCCTATTAGCAGCTTGCTGTGTCCATCTGATAGGTAAGAAGCTGCCGTCTTTTACTGGGGGAAAAAAAAAAAATAAATACTCTAGATCCAGTAATATATTTTAAACAACGATACTCATTATTTCACTTAACAGATGGTTGCATTTAAAAAGATTTCTTTGTTGTTGTTTTTTTCCAATTTTCATTAAATATTTAATGTCTATTAACTGATTTAACATTTTAATAATAATTTAAGATTGCCTTGCACTCCTGCATATAACTACATTTGGAAGGCAGCTTTGAAGACAAAAACCAAAAAGAACCATTAATCATGTCTTAAAATGTCAGGTTTTCAGTATCACTTATGCCTTACAGAAGTATTTTATCCCTGCTGCATTTTGTATTAGGGTTGATTATTGTTTTTTTGCAATTTAAACCAGTGCAATTTCCAATTGTTAGATCAGACCACTGCTCAATCTTTTTCAGCATCTTGTCACCTATCAGGAGCTGATATCAGATTCCTCTAGATTTCTTGCAATTTCTGTTGGGAAAGAGACTAGAAAGAAATATTCATGTGGCAGTCATCTTCAGTAACTAATTCTGCACTGATGATACCCTATGCAAAGAATATAAAATACTGATGTTAGGTGTGAACAGGACTGGGAGATTTGGCATATGCAATCCACCATTTTGCATGTTTTTTTTCCTCCTGTCAATTATTATATCTATCAGGGCTGGTCTTGGCAGTAATTTTAATATGAGTAGTCCTTTTAAGTCAGTGGGACCACTTAAAATTACTTGCATGAGTACAAGCTTGGTAGGTCAGTCTCATTCATGTATAGTAATTACTGCCCTGTTGAAAACATTTTTATATCTTCTGATTGCCTATGTAAATTTATCTTGAATATCATTTTCAAAACATTAACAAGTGCAAATATACTTTTAGGCTACTTTATAGATTGTGAAATAAAGACTAAAATACTGACAAGTTGATTTAAGTGCAAAATACAACAGCCACTTAGAGTATAAGCTGATGTTTAGAGTTATACAATGTCAGTAAAAAGCATCTTCAGCCATTCATTGAACAAGCAAGTTATTTGTACTGTGCAATGCTAATCTGATATACTGCTTTGGAAAAAGAGCAATGGTTAGACAGTGTCCAGCAAACTCCACCTTATTTGAATCAAACTCCATGGAAAATATTTTCAAATGCCTCGAGTGACTAAAAAATATTAGCCCAATCCCACACTATGTCCACATACATCCTGTGCCTGACTATATTTTGGGTCAAATACTAACTTTCATAAATTGATTGTAACGATAATTGTGTATGTGGATTGGCAGCTGGATATGACTTAGTAAGATGCATCTAGAAATATTATTAATAATTAGGTAGGTTCCCAAATTATCAATTAGTAAATGATCTTGACTATTCTTAAACTAAGAGACATTTCTTTTTATAATGGTCAACCACGTGGCATTGTGCAATTGCTAAATAAACCAGTGCAGCTAGAATTTCCTTGGGAATGATGTATTTGCTAAGTAAACAAAAGCCCCTGCTATTTCCTTGAGAAAAATTAACAGGCCAAAATACATGTATATACTATTCTGCTCTGTTAGAAAGGTTCTCATGCTAGAATAAACAAACATTCTATGATTCTAGGCCAGATGAGATTCCTATAGATGTGTTGGGTGAGAGCAAATTCTGGTCTATTATTAAAACTTAGAGAGGCATTTGTCTCACCTGATCCGTATCAAGTTTTCTCACCAGATGAATTATAATGATATGAATGCATTTACTTAATGACATTATCTATGATACTGAAACACTAACAGGAAATTAAAAATTTGTTTAAAATCCATCCTAAGTTACTTATTTATACATCACTAGAGGTCACTCACAAAGTTAAATGAGAAAAGAATTAAAAGCTTAGGTCTGAAAGAAACTGCAGACACTGCAGCAACTTCTATATATAGTGATGCTGCTCTGGGATCAGTTATTCAGTCTGCTTACATGGTGGAAACACTCAGGAGTTACATCAGAAAAATAATTACAATGAAAAAAAGGAGCCCCAGTCTGATTATTTTTAAGGCAAAGGTATTGTTCAGCTTTCATGGAGGTATCTGGGTTGAGTTCCTGAAGTGAAGGAAATCGTCAGCAACGAATGTAAACACCTGAGGTGACTGAGGTTTACGGCACATCCCTGACTTCATCATTTTTCTTTACTCCACCAAGGTGGCTCCCTGTTCAGTGAGATGGGTGTTATGGATCCATTTCTGAGTCAGTGAACTCTTCCCCCTGTATAAGGAAAAAGGGGGTTTAACTTAAGACTTAATTACAGAGGCAGTCCCTCTTTTAAAGAGAAATTCTCTAGACAGTTAGACTGCTCATTCACATAATCCTGATGAGGATTCAGATATTAGTAATTTCATCACCTAAATCTTTTGAGGATTTAGACTTGGCAGGTTACAGGTACATGTTATTCAACATGTTCCAAGCACGGTTATCACATGCTGACAGAATTCAGTCCTTCACAAAATAAGGTTGTACCTATTTTTCTTTTACAGTAAATCAGTAAATTTTTTACTTATATTTCCTGATAAAAGACGAGCTTAGAGCATTAACCTAGTTCAGGGTTAGTCTTTTTCTAGGCATCAGGTTTTCATGTCAAAATTCTTCATCTCTCAAAAGTCTTTGTCAGTATTTCTGCTGGTATGGTAGTGCTAGGCCATGTATGGAAAGGAATTAAAAATGTATGGAGTCCTGATAGAGAAGACACCTCATCTGTAAGACAGTTCACATATTTGATCCCCTAACCATTTAACTGGAGGTATAAAAATAATCCTTCAAGCAAGGCACAATACTAGGAAAGTTTTGATGCAGCTGAGTGTCCTAATCATGTGGTCACATGACCATGGCCTGTATTTTGTGCCTCTGTCCCACTGTTTTCAGCACAGTGTCTCAGCTTCAGGTAGTGTAGCAAGAGCCCTTGGTCAAATAGGCTTACAGTACGATGCTTAAGGTTTTCTGCAGAGAAGATGTGAGTTTGAACCATTTCAGAGTGAGAAGAGGGCTAGAAGAAAAAACCTGGTTCTTTTGGTTCCTTCTCCTGGGTTACTTCTCAGGCTATGGACCCTTGTATCATCATTCAGAGGTGCCTTCTTACAGCCAGCTGAAAGGCAAATCTAGATCCCTGACTGAGGCTCCAGATTTGCTCCTGAAGAAAAGGCCCTATGCTTAGGCGTAAAAGAAATTGGCATAGAAGTATCTGCAGCCATTAGCAGATCAAGCCCCAAGTCCCTTGTTTCTTTTAACCAGTTCTGTGCCCTTTCTTAGTATTGCCTAGCTATAGGCAATAGACTTTCTGATTCTTCCTGTTGTTTCACTTATTAACGAGATTTAGTGCAGCAGTGAATTAAGGGCTGTGATCCAGTCATTAGAAAAAAGAAATGAGATATAAATGAATTGTTATTTGAATTTAGAGCTGTATTTGTAATAGAAAGCATTATTGCTTTTTACCTTTTGGAAGGGGCTGTTTCTTTTTTTCTGATGTGATAGAGGACTGTCCCCTTTGTCTTATATAGATACACCTGGGTCCTTTGATCACATCTAAAAGCTTTGATTTAAAAGTTCAGATACAGGAAATTGTACTTAATATGTTTTTTACAATTTATTCACAGGAGCTGACACTGAAATCCAGCAGGAAACAGGAAGCAAATACATGGAGGATATTCAGCAGAAACAAAACAGTATGTTCATTTATACTGTGTGTTTGAATCTACTTGCCACATCTCTGCTTAATAATGAAAATGCCTAAAAAACCTCCCTAGATATTGCCAGTAATGTCAAATAAAGATACATGTGTATTAACAAGCCCCTTTCTCTGTAAGAATAGTATATTTGATAGTATACTAGATAACAGATACCAAATACTAATCACACAGAGTAGTTATATTTCTGTAATAATAGGCAACTAAAAAACCAGATGTGTGTTTGTAGAGGCTGTATGCATATGTGCATTAATATGTATAAAACAATACCAAAGTGGAATACACATGCAATGTTTGGTTCCAAATAAATAAGGAAATGAGATCACTTTGGCAAACTGTAAAGTCAGCAGCTGATGTTGATAAATCAAGATGGCAACCCAACTGCATTGATTTCTACAATGTAATGATTTGTGATCATACTGTTAACAGATTTGTGGCCATTTCTGAAGGGTTTCAGCCCCTTAACAGAAAAATACTAAACAGAGAGCAAAGAGGATAATTAAATTGTTTATTCCCTCCTTAGAAAGAGAAGGTTTAATGAGAAGGCAACTATGCTTTTGTACCAGTAATAGGCTAATCTAGTACCCCTTAACCTGTTGAATTTTCCAGTGTGTCTGAAGCACTCCAATATGCAGAGCTGTGAATTTCTGCTCCTAACACAAAACAGACTTCTATAAAAGGGTCAAAAAGGTAGAAAATGCAGATCATCACAGTTGAAAGAAACTTCTTATGATTTAACTATACTGATTTTGAATTTTAGTATGCACTTTTAACCTATCCATGGCCTGTGAAACAGAAAACAGGCTTAACATTGTTTCATTAGAGTTGGCATATTAATTTTCCAGTCCCTTCTAGATAAATTTTAGGTGCAAATGTTGGTATTGTTATACTAGTTTTTTGGTTTATTTCTTTTCTTCTAGCTTCTGCTATGGTAAACTTCATCTGGCCAATGCTGACAGATCCATTAATAAGACGTAAGTAGAGGAAATTAAATGTATTCAGTAAGTTTTCAGCTTCAGGGGATGCAGACAGGGAAAGGGACTGGTAAAGGAAGTCATGGATTCTTTAGAAGAGAAATACAATGATTAAGAAACATAATATTGAAGTGTTAGCTGAAATGTAGATGACTAATAAAGCTCTAGATGAAGATAACTATAACCATTTATAGGGAAATATGAGTAACAGATATGAGTGAAGAGTGAATATACAGTTTTATAATGGATAGATGGACAGAAAATAACAAATGGAGGTAGGCAGATGGAAACTATTTAATGATAACATGAAATCTAGAGAAAGCTGATTTTCAAAATATTAAGGTTGAGAATTTTAAGTCATTTATTTACAGCTAGTGTTAATTCACAGCTTCCAATCCTGCTCACAATGGTCGCGTGTGCAGCACATGGGGCAACTTCCACTTCAAGACCTTCGATGGAGACATATTCTCCTTCCCTGGGCTCTGTAATTACGTTTTTGCATCCCATTGCAACACTCCCTATGAGGATTTCAACATCCAGATTAGGCGCACAGTGGTGGAAAATGCTCCAACAATCAACCGTATCACCATGATACTTGAAGGTGTAGCTGCTGAACTAACAAAGGATGTTGTAACAATCAACAGCAACAGGTGAGTTCATTCATAATGCTTGTTTGGTAACCCCATACTTTTTTTCAGACTTGAAAAGTACTTTGGTGTATTTTGAGGGGAGAAATTATGTTTTTCAATAAATCTGACAATTTTACCATTATAAATTAGTTACTATTAATTCCTTTCACAGTAAATGATCCTTCCCTTAAAGATTAACTCAGAAATACAATTTGGATGAAAAATCCTGAGAAGTTGGATCCAAATTCAGGTCCATATTTGATGATGTTATACCATCTTATGTTTTAATTGCTTTTCTTTCCACATAACTGCATTATTTCAGAATTCTTACACATGCTGGATACCACAAGCCTTTTTTTTTTTCTTTCTCTTTATCAAACATCTGGATCAGAAAATACCTAGCTTTCTTTCTGCCTTTTCCCAGAGTTCAACTGCCATACAGAGAATTTGGAATTACGATAGAGAAAAGCAGCATTTATGTCAAAGTTGCCAGCAAAATGGGTGTTGTGTTAATGTGGAATGAAGATGACAATATCCTGGTAAGAACTGCTCCTGGACCTGCCTGCATCTTCAGGGACCTGAGCTAATTTTTGAATAGGCTGGTCCATATCTGTTTAGGAGGTTACTATTACCTTCTACTATCATACTGTTGAGCAATTCTTTCTTAGTATAAGATAGGTTTACATCCAGGTAGCCCTAAAGAAAATTACAGGGATTTACATCTAGTGGACAGCAGGCATCTGCTTAAAAAAGTGAAAAATCACTTTCACTGTATCATTAACACATTGGCATCGTTATAGGGCATACTTACCCCTTCAGGTATAATTTTCTAGCAGAATTTCACTCTCTTAGGACTTCATTTTTACTATGGATTTGATTTTCTTTCTGAAGAAGAAATAGAAAGAAAGAGGCTAAGAGCAATACAGATAATACAGTGAAAACATAAGTCTGCATCAATAGCATCTATAACTTGAACTCTGTGTTGTAAATCAAATCCAAGCCAACTCTTCATTCTATCACCCAGGTTTGAATTCGATTGCTAAATAAAGTTACACAATTATGAAAATACTTAGAGGCAGCAGTTGCAGGTGCTTTCAGTGGTCTTCAACCTATTTTAAAATGTTAACACTAACATCTATCTATTTACTGTCCATTATTTTAGCTGGAATTGAATGAGAAATATGCTAATCAGACCTGTGGACTTTGTGGGGACTTCAATGGCTTTCCAATTTACAATGAGTTCTATTCAAACAGTAAGTTTTTTAAGTAATACAGTTGGTTTCTGAAGTCTTCAACTTACTTTCTTTGTATTCTTTTAACTGTAATATAATCAGCGTTCATCTTTTCTATCCTGTTAAATGATTTATCCAGAAGTTATGATTCAATCTCTGTTCACAAATAAGTAGTGCAGAGATCAGTTAATGTGATTTAATATTTTAAGCATAAATACAGTACGCGTGCTAAGAACTGATTGCATATTCCTTGTATGCCATGGTTTATTTACATTATCAGCTAACCCTATAAAAATGAGTCGGATTTCAACTAATAACAGAAATAGGTATAGAAACATATTCAAAGAAAAATGCAATTTTATTGTCTAGGCAGTCCATTTATTGTTTCAGTTCTGTCTTAAAATTGGTATATTTGCCTGATGAGTTGCATAATTTTTGTAAGATCTTATCTTCATCATTCTATCCAGCATTGGATAGCATTCTATCCAGCATCTATCTCCATTGTCCAAATCCCTGTTTAGATTCTTTCTCTATTCCCTGCATGAGCTCAACATAATCTGAAAACAGTTTGTTATTTTTCTACTAAAAATCTTAGTTTGCATCCAGATGTAATAGGCTGAAAATTGTTTCCTAATGTTTACTTTTTCCAGGGTGCTCTGCAAGAAAAATTGAAACAGGGATGTAGTGCTTCCTTTGGAAGGGGTGATGATCAAATTTAAAGACTTAAGGGCAGTAGCTGTCTTGGCCAGTCTTGAACAGAATTTTTGAGAGAAGAAAAAAATAAAGCACAGCTGCATTGAACAAAAATCCCCCAACCTTCATTATTAAACTTCTTTTGTGCAGATATTAAGATTACAGCAATGCAGTTTGGGAATATGCAGAAAATGGATGGGCCAACAGAAGTCTGTGAAGACTCTGCTTCTACCCTGCCAGACAATTGCACTGATATTTTTGTAAGGATTTTTTTAGTATTTCATTTTTCTTTCAAACTTATACATATCCTTCTGCAGCTTCAGCTGGGTCAACAGGAAATGCCCTTGGGAGACAGCAACTTAAAGGAGCTTATATGATTCTATTAAAGAATAATTATACAAAGTAACAATACAAATATATTGCTCTTTTATTTTTTTTGTTTAGTTTGTTAGGTTTTAATTTTTTTCTTCCTAAGGATGACATATGTGAGGAAACATTGACCAGCTCTGCATTTGCAGAGTGTAATCACCTAGTTGATGTTAAAGAGTACATTACGGCCTGCCAAGAAGATTTGTGCCGCTCCGAAGAGTCTAAAAACGCCTCATGTATCTGTGACACCTTTGCTGAATACTCCCGGCAGTGTGCTCATGCTGGTGGGCATCCTCTGAACTGGAGAACCTCAAAACTGTGTCGTAAGTATCACAGTAGATAGCCTTAGTTTATGCCCAGTAACTAAAAAACAATAAGCTCTGAGATGATGCTGAGGATGAATGACAAATTGCAGACCATTCAAGATGATTGCATTTTCCAGAGGATACTGATGTGCAAGTTTCAGCATGAAGACTTCAGCAAAAGAGCTAAGGTTTCTAATGTAAACTGGATTAAATACTATCAAAGACTTATATGGATAATCTAATTGAGAGTCAAGGTATTACTTAATTAACTGGGACAGTAAAATAATCAAATAAAGGAGAAAGGAGGAAGAAAGAGGCAGGCTTGCTAGCTTGTATTCCTGTTTCTCTCCTTTACTCATGGTGGCTACAGCATTTTTCATTCTCTGTTGTTAAGTGATTGGGTCTTCACAGGTGTTAAGTACTTATTTATCTCCTCTTCTTTGGTAGTGAGGAGACTGCACCAGTGTAATCTTCACAGAGATTTGCACTGAATTAAACACATACTAGATTAGGGGTGTAGTTGTTGATACTGTCATCAGACCTGCATTTGCTTCAGAACAAAACCCCACAAGGTATATTTGTCCTTCCAATGCTCTCTGGAAAATGTAAATATACTAAAGCTTTAGGAATTTAAGTTTTACATTTCAATAGCAAGACAGGTGTTCATGTGAAGGTTGCTTTCAGTAGAAACACAGGCCTTGCTGACTTAGAGGGGTCATTACCTTCTTGTCCACACAAATCCAGTCACTGAGCCAGTCTGGCCCCAGGCAATCATGGAAACCACGTCTCAACTGTAAAATATGAAACTAGGTGACTAAATTAGCAAATTTTGAGATCTGGCAGTCAACCTGCAGTTTAGTGTGGTTTTTACATTTAGCTGTTAAATGAATATAAATATTTTCATACACAGTGGACCAGAAACACTTTTGAATGAAATAATCTCTCCTCCTTCAAAATTTTAGCCAAGAAGTGTCCTTACAACATGCAGTATGAGGAGTGTGGCTCCCCCTGTGCTGACACATGCACCAATCCTGAACCATCTCAGTTTTGTGAAGAACACTGTATGGACGGTTGTTTCTGCCCACCAGGCAAGTTATTATGTACTCACAATTCTGATCTCAAAGAACAGCAGCAGCTTACCTGTAGGATTTGAGCAGGTTCCTTGGGGTTTAAATTCCCTTTACTCACAGCCGTAAATGACCAGTATTTGTCATGTCTCAGCTGAGAAAAGAAACCTGAATTAAATGCCAATATATGTGCAACATTAAGAAAGCAGGAAAGCAGAACAGTAAACAGTTCAAGGCCAGTACCCCAACAAGATACTTATTGTACTACAGTACCTTTTTCAAAGCAGATGGAGTTTAGGAATATAAAGGTTGAATCCTTCATTGTACGAACTGGCATAGTCTTACTGGCTTCAGCATAGGTATGTCCATTCATGATAGCTGCAGATATAAAATGATATTTAGGATTTGTAGCAAATAGAAATGGTGTATAGGAAATACCTCTTTAACTGATCAAGTTTTTTGTCTTTATTTTGTTAATCTAGGGACTGTATTTGATGACATCAATAAATCTGGCTGCATTCCCCGTCAGCAGTGCTCCTGTGTTTACAATGGCAATGCATACGCCACAGGAACTTCCTTTTCAGGGCAATGTCATTCCTGGTAAACTTTGTAAATTTTCCAACTTACTATTTCCTCTCACATACTGAGTTTAATGGTTTATTATGTGCAATTGCATCATTGGTAATTGATATGCGTGTTTAACTGACCGCTACAATTCCAAAATATCAATAAAGAACATTCTGTGTTTCATTTAGCAACAGCCTTAACAAGCTTTGCACTCTAACTCAAGGTGATGAAAGCAAGGATTTACCATGTTTAGATTTCTTACCAGTCAATTAAAATGCTTCCTCTTTGTTTATTTTGTTCAAACATGTGGACTTCTCTGAAGGGAATGAAATTGGCATTATTTATGTATTTGCAGATACTTACTTTCTGTGGAGAAAGGAAGGGATGACACACTACAGCCTCTATTTTACAGTTATTAATCCTGTACTTGTATACTACCACATCGCCTTAGAAAACAGAGATACTCTGCATTAAGAATAGACATGGGGTTATATTTCTGTTAGTTTTGGACATATCTGAATAACAAACCAGAAGAGATTTTAATTTGTTGTTGTGATTTATGTTAGCTACAAAACCCAAGCAATTAATCATCCAATACCTGTTGCTGGAGAGTTCACCTGTTCAAAGGAGGAAAACAACTAAATAAGAAAAGTGAATGCATTCCAGAGTCATTCCTTTTAAAGTGTTGCATCATGTGTTCACAACGTTTTAGAAAGTCCTAAACCTAGATTTACTGTGTGTCAACCTACAACCTGAAGGAAAAAACAGCAGCAAAATAGCGGAACCCAATTTCACCATAATTCCTTATATTCTGGAGCCCTGTTACCCATTTCAGCTAATGTGATTCTTTCTCTTCCAGTACCTGTAATGGAGGCCAGTGGCGTTGTGAAAACACATCATGCCCAGGAACATGTTCAGTAGAGGGAGGTTCACACATTTCCACATACGATAAAAAATATTATGATCACCATGGAAACTGCACTTATGTCCTTTCTAAGGTGGGAAGCAAATATTACTAGGTCATAAAGCCTTACACATTTACAGAAAGAAAAGTTCATCTCAGTTAACACTTTTGAAACTTACCTCTTTTGACATAAAGAGGTTCAATTGCCTCTCAGTTAGCCAGATGTTTACTAGAACATATGCTGCCATTCAAATGGCAATCATCAGTTAACTATTAGACTGTCATGCAACAGTATATGGTGTTTACTGGGGAATTTCCAGTTCCTTGATGTAGTATTTGTTGAAAAGCACTGCGTTTTTAAAGAATTTACTTCATCTGCATTCCTCAGTATGATTAATCCAGCTTTCTGAGTTGCAGAATTTTTGCCATGTTACTGTATTGTACAGTATTGGGCCAAATGGTACAAGTTTGAAAAACTACACTAGTTCTGAAGGAAAAAAAAATTCAATTTATACGACCTACTTTTTTATTTAATTTCTGGGAAGTTCAAATACAGAAAATCATTTCAAGTCAAATGACATATTTCATTTAGGTTTTGAACCTTTTTTAAATAAATTCAAAAATAAGTCAAAAGAAATAGAAAAATTAAAAGTTAATTATAATCAAAATATTTAACTAAGGCAATGTACAAGTATTTTTCTTTATCTTTTAGGGGCTATTTCTGTTCCTTCTTTCCTTTCCTTTTTCCTCTTCCCTCATCCGCATGATTCAGAAAAAAAAAAAAAAAAACAGCTATATCTTATTGCTCTCCTGAAAAACGTTTTATCTGAAATTTACATCTAGCATTGATACCACCTACAGAAAGAAAAGACAGCAGAACTGAATCAAACATTATAAGTATGCATGAATAAAAGCTCCAGATATGTATATCATTAATAAAATGCAAATTTTCACATTGTTCCTAATCATTACAAAAGGCAAAACTGAATCTTAGGCCAAAGAAGGCCAGGGATTCAGGAGAAACTGTCCCCTCTTCAGAAACGGGTATATTTTTCAGAGTTGAGGGAAAATTTTACAGGGAAAGCTTCTGTAAGTAAGCCTTTCATGAAATAACTGTTGGCATTTTTTTTTCAGCACTGTACAGATGGAACATTTGCCATCCTGGTAGAACTACGCAAATGTGGCCTAACAAAAACTGGGACATGCTTAGAGACAGTGACCCTCAACATGAATAAAGGACAAACTGTAAGAATGCAAAATAAGCATGGGAAATAACTATTGAAAATATGGGAGCAAAGAAACTAAGCCTTAATTCATCAGGGAACTGAATTTTTCTCTCAAATGGTCAGCATATGTGATAAGTACATGTTATTTTTAATCCAGTGAAAAGAAATTTATTTTTTAATGAAAATCAGATCGGCCATAAATTTGGCTTTCTGGAAGTTCATTAAGAAAGACACTGTAGTCACCAAGCAGAAAAAAAAAACTATTTTCTCTGCCAATTAGATGGAAAAAACCATAAGCTTTTAAGTTAGAAACTACAACTGTTAAGGGATGTAATTCATCACAAAGATAGATACATTTGAAGAGACCAAGGTGCTGTAATTCCCTAAGAAGCTGAGAAAGTCTCTTTAGAAATAATTCTTTTATTACAGGAAATGTACAGAGTGGAATGAGAGAGGAGGTGAAGTCACAAAAAACCTACCCTTTTAATCTCTTTTTAATTAATACCACTGTAGTCATCACTATTACTACTCCCTGGACTATAGTTATCCTTCACACAATTTCCTCTTGTTCCTCTTCATTACCAGCTCATCGAGGTCAAACCTGATGGTGGTGTGTATGTGAACTCCATCTATACCCAGCTGCCCATTTCATCAGGTATTTCTTTCTCTAACATTCTCTGAGCAATAAGAACAAAACTTCAACTCCACAACTGCTTATTTTCTTAACGGAAGATAAAGGGACTGTGAGTTGTTCAGAACCTGCATATTCGTATCTCCCAGTTCTCTTTGGAATATTTCCTGAGTGACACAAGTGCTTTTGAGGTAGAAGTGGGAAGTTTGATGTCATGAAGAAATGTGAGACAGTACAAGCATAGGAAAGAGTTCAAACAGAAGCAAACAGCATTTACACTCTCCTGATTTGTTCAGTGTAAGGTTTATTTCCTTTTCACTGCCAAAAACTGAACACAGAAGATGCTTCCTCAGAAGTTTGATTTTTGCTCTTCTGTCTCAATAAGTAGCAATTCTGTGTGGTATCTCTGACCTCCTGATCCACTTATTTTCCATTTCCAGCAGAGTAAGGGCTCCAATTTATGCTGTATAAGCTTAGCAAAAGTATTCTTTTTAATGCTTAGTGCCATACAGTTTTTCCTTCTTACTCTGAAGGAGTAATAGCCATCTGCTTAACGTTGAGACAGTGAATAAAGTTAACAACCTGGCAGCAACAATCAAATTCTGAACTGTAAATTTTGATTCATATTTCTGATACATTTTCATAAAGATTGGCTTTATTTCACCTCAGAATTTGCAAAAGTTGTGATAGAAATTTAAGGAGAATAGTATAATGGTGTACTGTTTCCAGCATTTGACCTCACTCAGAAAGTGACCATTCTGTTCTTCATCTGTAGCTAACGCCAATGTGTTCAGACCATCATCATTCTTCATCATCATGCAGACAAACTTTGGTGTCCTCCTTGAAATTCAAATTATACCCATGATGCAAGTGTTTGTGCGACTGGATCCTATTTTCAAAGGGCAGACATGTGGTAAGTGAATGAAATACAAGAACACGTTGCTTAATGTCTTTTGTCTAGTATGAGCAATACAAACTTTTCACTGCTTTTCAACAGGTCTCTGTGGCAATTTCAATGATCTCGAAACTGATGACTTCAAGGTTATAAGTGGAATAACTGAAGGAACAGCAACAGCATTTGCTGATACATGGATGACTCAGGCTTCATGCCCTAAAGTCCAGCGCAGTTTTGAGAACCCTTGTGCACTCAGCATTGATAATGGTGTGTGCTTCTTAGATTTTTTTATTGTTCTTGTTATTTATTACTAAAGAAAACACGTATGTTGTAAAGCAAAGATAAGAGAAGAAAGACTTACATACTTGGTAAAAACATAGCTCTGAAACCAGAAAAAAATGAATGCACTAGGGATAATTAACAAAGTCAATAAGGCTTTTCTTAGTAAGAGTTAGAGAAATGTAACTGAAGGAAATTGAAGGAACCTTAGCCCAGATGCTGAGTGGAAAAAACAAACAAACAAAAAAGGATAAGAAAAAGAGAGACTTTATGTGATTTCAGAACTGGCTTCAAAGCCCAGGGCAGAGGGGTTTTTTGACTAATGAAATACAAAGAGTATTTGTACTGTTTGTTTTTTTCACAGAAAAATATGCTCAGCACTGGTGTGGACTACTAACTGACAAGAAAGGACCTTTTGCTGATTGTCACTATGCAGTGAATCCCTCTGATTACCACATGGTATTTTGTTAGACTGTTTTTCCCCTTAGAAAAAAATAGAAATAGGATCATTACAACTAGCTACCAGAAAAGGACTGTTCCATATATCTCTCTCATCTTACGCAATGCCTGTATTTTCATTTCTGTACAGCAGCACTTCCTTCTCTCAATGTGTGTTTCTGTTTGTGTCGTGACATTACCTTATTTCAATTGTCAGTCTTGGCTTCAAGATCCTGACTTGCTTGCAAATGAAAAGGCAGCTATTTACTCCTGGACGGATACACACATGCAGTAACAAGTGTATACAAAGGCATGTCAAATGCTTGTTTGAATATCAGTAAATTGTTGTCTCATCAGCCTCATCTAACTAATAAATAGTTGGCACAGAAAGCCCATTAGCTAATTTTCAGTATTCTGCTATCAATGTTTTACCAATCTTTCTTCTCACTATGAATCACCCAGATACGGACACTGGTGAAATGATGTTTCTAGATTGTGTACCATGAACAGAGCTTTGTATGCTATTCTGCAGCATATTCGTAAAAACGGTTCAGAGGGACATGAAACTCCTAAATGTATAACAGATTTTAAGACCACTGTCTCCCAGTAATAACTGCACACATCAACTGAATTTCCATTACCTTCACTCTTCCTGGCCAGGCAACTGTAGACAAACATTGGAAAAGTTTGCTAAAAAATATTGCTAAAGCTATATTAGTGTTGTTTATGAGTGAGCATATCTGAGGTAGGATTAGTGCGTAAGACCAGGAAGATAATGCTCTTTCTTTTTAGACTGACAGTTTTACCAGTGCTGAGACTATTTTTCTCTGCATTTTTAGAACTGCATGTATGACACATGTAACTGTAAAAACAGTGAGGACTGTCTGTGTGCAGCCCTGTCTTCCTATGTGAGAGCTTGTGCTGCAAAAGGAATACAGCTGGATGGATGGAGGACCGATGTCTGCTGTAAGTACTCTTAATTATCCCCTCTCCTATGAATACACATCAATAAAAACTGCTGGTCAGGGACTATTTTATACTGATTTCTAGACAACTATAATAAGTGGTGAGGAAGGGATTTTGTTAAGTGAACTTCTGGAAGTAATTCTCTGCTGTTCCCTTAGAATCAATCCATTGCTAGCAAGAGTGAATACAAACAGACAGAAAACGTAGGCTGCCTAGGAAAGAGACTGCTGTTATAAAAGTGTTTCTATGCAACTTTGAATTTCATTACAGCTTCATGTATGACAAGTTACTGTAGAGTAAATGTGACATACTATAGTAACAGTACTAGTAATTCTAACCGGAATACTTGCGAATGAAAGGTCTCTGAAGCTGCATGCTGGGTTCCACCACCAGTAGGTCTGTTTTCAGTATACGAGGAGACATTCAGGAAGATATCTTATTTCATACTTAAAAAGGTATAGAAATTTTGCCAGCACCAAATGGAGGTTTCTTTCTGAAATCCCATTCAAGAAAATATTTTCTTCTTTGCAAACATCACATAATCCACATGTACAGTAGATTTTCAGATCTAACTCTGGAAGTATTCAGAAATACATGAAAGATACAACATAGGCAGAGTTATGCAGTATTGTGTACATGTTATTTCTACTGCCTATGGTTTCTTTTTTCCCCATCAGAAATTACCACCTGGAATTAACAAATCTATTTTATTTTTCTCTCTCAAGCAAAATACACCTCATGTCCCAAATCCCTAAGCTACAGCTATAACATCTCTTCCTGTCAACCCACTTGTCGATCTCTGAGCGAGCATGATGTCACATGCAAAATTAAGTTTGTCCCAGTTGATGGCTGCACCTGCATAAATGGAACTTACATGGATGAAAGTGGCAGATGCGTGCCTGCTACTGAATGCCCCTGCTACTACAGAGGATCTCCCATATCATCTGGAGAAACTGTCCAAGCAAATGGGCTTGTATGGTAAGTGAATCCGTTGCAAAACACTCAAGCAATACTGTATATATTTTCTCATTAGAATCTGCTACATTTAAATTGGTCTCAGCCTGTCCTGCCTGAATTTCAATACAATGCTGTCTCATTTTTTTTCAACTTTTAAGAAGGTGCATATTTCCCTGAGCTTGAAGGAGAATATGCTGTACCACTGAAACATACGTTAAGGCAATGGGGCCAGCTGGGATCGATCCAAGTGTACTGAGGGAGCTGGTGGAAGTATTCACCATTTGCAAGCATTTTTCAGCAGTCCTGGCTAACAGGCAAGGTCCTAGTTGACTGGAGGTTAGCAAATCTACAAAATCTAGTCACCTACAAAAAGGACCAGAAGAAGGATCTGGGGAACTGCAGGCTTGTCAGTCTGACCACAGTGACAGGGAAGGTTATAGAGCAGATCATCATGACTGCCATCACTCAGGTGATCAGGCGCAGTCAGCACGGCTTTATGAAAGGCAGGTCCTGCTTGACAGACCTGATCTTCTGTGGCAAGGTGACCCACTTAGTGGGTGAGGGAAAAGCTGTGGATGTTGTTTACCAAGACTTTAGTAAAGCCTTTGACACTGCTTCCCACAGCATTCTCCTGGAGAAAATGACTGCTCATGGCTTGGACAGAGGCACTCCTTGCTGGTGAAAAACTGGCTGGATGGCCAGGCCCAAAGAGTGGTGGAAAATGGAGTTAAATCCAGTTGGCCCTGGCCAGAAGCAGTGTTCCCCAGGGCTCAGTGTTGGATATCACACGAAAGCAGCACTGGTAGTGGTATTAAGGGAAATTCTTTCCTTTGGAAATTCTGAAACTTGACAAGAGAGAAGTAGCTCTCAGTCTCAATACATGATTTAAGAGATTTTTTTTTTTTTTTTTTCCTCTCTTGCAGCACGTGCATCCAGGGAAGACTGGATTGCACTGGAGAACCCAATCCAGATCGAGGTGAAAAAAAATAAAAATCTTCTTCCACTTTTCTGTGACAGGTTCTGGACAGAAATAGTTGATATAATTGATTGAAATGATAAAATCTTAATGGAGTTTTAAATAATAGAAGTATTTTTGATTTAGTTACAGTGCAACAGTTATCATAAAAGGCAAGAGTGAACCTAAATTAATGATAGGATTTCTTTTTCATGATGATTTTTTTCTAAAATACTGGGGGTTTTCTCTGGTAATTCAGTGCTCTGAAATGAATCTATTTAATACAGACAGCAATCCTTACTAATTGAAATATGTAAGTCCAAAGGATTTCTAGAGGGTTTTAATGGCTAGAGATGAGCCATTTCTGATTGCTCTCATTTCTTTCCTTCCTTTAGTCTGTGAATCTCCCATGGTCTACTTAGACTGTAGAAACATCAGTGAAGGCACAACTGGAACAGAATGTCAAAAAAGTTGTCAGACTCTGGATATGCAGTGTGTAAGTATTTCAGGGCTGGATGAAATTGTGCTTCCAGGTTTTGTTTGTGCTTTTGGTGGTAAAGTAACTGATCTATCTGATCCACTCCAAATCTACAACATAGATACTTTGTTTTTGTAGCAAAAGCCTAAAACCATGTTATAAACCATTAATAATGGGACCCTTAGACAAAAATATAATAAGGTAACATCCAATTTAATTCATAATATTGGTGTCTACCTTTCTTCAGCTACTGCAGGTAACAGTAATTAGTAGTGAAAATATCTAGGACACATATTTTACTTCTTTAGGAGAAAATTACTGGCTATGAACTGGGTAGGAGAAATAATTCTTTCTTATACCATAATGCAATTAGGAACTTCTTTCACACATAATTATAATATTCCATCTAAATGCATGCCACATACCATTTTGTGAATAAGTACCATGGGAGATAAATACATTTTGATGTAAACCAATCAAACCTAAAAAATATTATGTATTTTCTTTTTAAAGCTCCATTCAGTCACCAACTACAAAGTGCAAGGCTGCTTCAGCTAATACAGAGCAAGACTTACAATTCAATGTATTTTAAATTTCACAGACTGTAGCAGAGTAATCAGGATTGGCATACACAAAACATCTTTAACAGATATATATTCTATTAAATCAATGGCTAATAAATTCCAGTTTGTTCCATTGTCCTATAAGCACTTTGTAGTCCTCTCTCATTTAAGATAGGCAGCAATAAGACCATATAAAGACATTTTATTTTAATGTTTTTCTATTGCAAATATTTCATTCTGAAATTTTATCTTCTCTTGACTTTTCTAGTATAGCATGCATTGCATATCTGGTTGCGTGTGCCCAGCTGGGCTTGTGTTACATGAGAATGGTGATTGTATTCCTGAAGAGGAATGTCCATGTATTCACAATGAAGCCATGTATCAGCCTGGGGAAAAGATCAGCGTTGACTGTAACACCTGGTAAGTATTTCCTCAGAAGTATCATTCCTGGTTCCATCATTTGTCTTTCCAAAGAACTTACATAGTAGAGCAGTAAAGAAATATTTGGATTACACATGTCACCAACTGATAGATCTCTTAGTTGTGGATTAAACAGTATGAGACGGTTTCCTTCTGACATAGACAGATAGCCAAAGCGCAGAATGGGAAGAAGTCTTTGGGACTACAGTGGTCATTTCGTATTACCCTGTTCTGCAGTTAATGCATTCAGAGCGGCACAACAGAACTTTGCTTTAATACTTCACTTAAAAAATTATTTTCACTCCAGAATCAGTACAACATTACCAGGGATGAATTGCCAAACAAATACTGATTTGCTGGGATGTGTCTACACAAAACAGTGAGTTGTTTTATTATTAAAATGTTTTATTCTCACTCCTAGTGTATGCAAGAATAGGAAGTGGGAATGCACCAAAGATCAATGTCTGGGCACTTGTGCTGTTTATGGAGATGGTCATTATAATACCTTTGATGACAAAAGGTTCAACTTCAATGGAAACTGTGAATACACACTAGTCCAGGTACTGATAATTAGCAATAGTATATGACACTTTACCTTGACTGTGTCTACAAAAATAATGTATTTTAAAATGTTATTCTCCACCCAGGACCACTGTGGGATGAGTGGCACAGCCAATGGAACCTTTCGGGTTATTACTGAAAATATTCCCTGTGGCAACAGTGGGACAACTTGTTCAAAATCTATCAAAGTTTTCTTAGAGGTAAGAAGAACAACTTCATTCTATAACTGGTTAGGGCTCAAGAGAAGCCTAGATATCCATTGCGTCAAGGAAGTTGGAAAATTAAGCTTAAATCAGATTGAAGTGAAATATTTGGTAGAGCTTCCCAGCTTTCTATCTTTTCCTTTTCCCACACTATTTTATATCACCCTTGGGGAAACTACAGATTTACAGGAAAATAGCAGAAATTAGCCTATCATGTCATAATTGTTTTATTCTGTGCAATTTAGATCCTCCATGACTGCCAAATTTTTTTTTTTTGACCTATGCCGCTTAAAATACCTTTCTACCACAGTTCCTGGAACCTAAAATTTGAACTATGTAGTTTTATCACATTTGGATTATTTGTTTTCATTATATAAAATATGCATAGTATCCTTAAAAAGAGAAAAAGAGCAGAGCTGCAGCTACTGAGTTCATTTCTAATCACCTTTTCCTCCTGTTTCAGAGCTATGAACTGATACTTGGTGAGGAGCATGTCAGTGTCATAAAGAGAGGACAAAATAATGAGGTGCCATACACAGTCCGCTATATGGGTATGTACGTAGTAATTGAGACCACAAGTGGACTGATACTCATGTGGGACAAGAAAACCAGCATCTTCATCAAGCTCAGCCCTGATTTTAAGGTGCGGAACTAGCAGTTAAATGGCAATTTACAGTCCAGATTTGGACTGTGTGTGAATTTTCTTGAGACCCTGCCAAGATCCCAAACAGGTGATGTCTCTAGCATTCCTAGGACATCCCACGTTGTTTTCCATTCCTCTGGTGCCTCAGGAAGCCATGACATCATCCTGCTGCTCTTCTGAGCTCCGAAGGCAGCTTTCAGTGCCTACTTGGCCTGACAGAACTTGAACTGGCAAACTGCTTTCTGGGACTTTGTTAAAATTACCCACTGAATCTTGGTAAAGGTTATCAGACCTTACTAAAATTACATAGCTGCATGTGTTAAAACAAATTGAGTAGTCGTGATCTTGAAAGTAATCCATTGTTTCCAGTACTCATTGACACACAAATCACATTATCATACTTTAAGAACAAGGAAGTGAAATATTAGGAGTGAAAGCCTCTTGTAAAATGCTGCCATGTGTTTTGCAAGCATGATTTACACAGGTGATAAGGGAAATGTATTTCTGTTCTCATACCCCTTCTTCTAGCTTAATATATGTAAGTCCTAAAAAGTGTAGTAGATGAGTAATTTGCTATCTTACTGCATACAGCAGTAACTTTTCAGAATCATAAAATCATAGAATCAACTAGATTGGAAAAGACCTTTAAGATCATCAAGTCCAACTGTTCCCCCAGCACTGCCAAGTCCACCAATAAACCCTGTCACTGAGGACCTCATCTACATGGTTTGTGAACACTTTCAGGGGTGGTGATTCCACCACTTCCCTGGGCAGCCTGTTCCAATGCCTGATAACCCTTTTGGTGAAGGATTTTTCCTAATATCCAATCTAAACCTCCACTGGTGCAGTTTGAGGCCATATTCTCTTGAATTAAGAGTAATTTAGAACTAGATATACAAATTAATTTCAGTATCATAGGTTATTTTGCTGCCTCATCCACTGGAATTTTATACAAATAGTAGTAATATGGGAAGTATGCACCTTAGATTTGTTGAGAGAGCATAGCATCTACTGCAGCCTATCAGTTTTACAGATCCATAAATTTAGAATGAGGGATGTTTCTGGATGTTCAAGGAAAATGTAATTCTTTTTTATACCTGTGACCAGTTGCAACAGTAAAGACTCAATGAGCAGACAATCTGGCAGGACTGGTAGTGTTTATGCACTTTCTAAGGCTGTTTTTTATATGTACATCTACTGTATAAAACAGGGCTTAAATTGAGAACTCAGTTAACTGAATCCTTGTTTCATCATTAAAGACACGCCTCAGAAGACTGAAAGTTAGAATGACAAGGATGGTTTTATTGTGCAGATTTAAAAGAGAAGTCAAAAGCAGTATCCCTCTAGCAGTAGTCGTTCTGTTGCTGAGGAAACAAAGAATTAAGGTGCTCAGTAATGTTGAATGGAATGGAATTTCAAGTACTTTTTCAGCCTCAGATGTTGTTTCAAGGTTTCTCTCATCCATTATTATTTTGTTTACTTCTTTTTGCAGGGCCAGGTCTGTGGCCTCTGTGGAAATTATGATGGCAGCGGCATCAATGACTTTACTACAAGGAGTCAGTCTGTGGTAGAGAATGTCCTAGAGTTTGGAAACAGCTGGAAAGTATCCTCTACATGTCCTGATGCTTCCAGCGTAAAGGACCCCTGTTCTACCAACCCTTATCGAAAATCCTGGTCAGAGAAACAGTGTAGCATCATCAACAGCAATGTCTTTGCTGCCTGTCACTCTCAGGTATTACCAGGGCAAAAGTTCACTTCTAGTGTGAAGACTAGGTCTATGTATTATTGAAGCTGCTATCCCCATACATTTTCACATGCATGCCTAATTTGCTAGTAATTCACTGGTTATGTTTCACTCTGAATTGTGTCAGGAAAACTTCAATACGAATCCCACTCATGGGACAGATTTATAGTCCCTACCTGTAAGAAATAAAAGGATATCTAGTTCAAAGGAAATACTGACATATTACAAAAGAATGATAGTTTAATAATTACTATTTTCTTGTAGTGTGGCAGAAATAAAAAATTTCATATACCATGTGCAGAACACAAGCTCAACAAAATAATAATACAGTAATGAAGTATCAGCATAGCCTTTATCTGACACTAAGTATATACCAAACAATGCAGGGTAACTGTGCTCTTCCTATTTAGTTCTTTCCACTGGCAGAGACATTAATCTTCAAGTACAGTTGCGTATTGCTTGCAAACATGAATCTAATCTTCTACTAGGACCCAAGTCTGGATGTCGAAAAATCTGTCAATACATGGTTCAGATGTATAATCTGGCAACACCTCTGATGTTTAACAGTGTATATAAAGCAAAAGAAAAAAAAATTACTGACGTAAGCCTTTCTTCTGAAATACTACAGTTTTAAGAAAATTACTTTAGCAAAGCTAAGAAAGAGTTTAGATGGTAGGATATATAGTATTACATTTCTTTTTATTAACAGGTTGAACCAGCAAAATACTACCAAGCATGTGTGACAGATGCTTGTGCATGTGACACTGGAGGAGACTGTGACTGCTTTTGTACAGCAGTAGCTGCCTATGCTCAAGCATGTAGTGAAGTTGGTGTCTGCATAGCCTGGAGAACCCCATCAATCTGTCGTGAGTTTTATGTCATAAATACTTCTTCTGCAAGTGGAGTTAAATTCATAGTGCCTTGCTTAACACACACTCTAGGTATCTTATGTATGTGCATTATAATCTCACTATGTAGACTTTTCACACTAAGCTGTTTTTATGGTGACACAATTTCACCTACTCATTCCCAGTTTTCAGGACTGTTCAAGCAGCACTGCAGTAATATGATGAACTGGCACGAGTCAAAAAAAGCTCTTTTTTATTTTCTTTTTCTGAGCATGTCCAAATTCTGTTTCTCCTTAGCACTGTTTTGTGATTACTACAATCAGCAAGGGGAATGTGAATGGCACTATAAGCCTTGTGGAGCCTCCTGTATGAAGACCTGTAGGAATCCAAGTGGAAAATGCCTCCATAACTTGTCAGGTTTAGAAGGTAAAAAAAAGCTGCAACTACCTTATTTTGTTATAGTTCTACTACTTTCTACGGAGTGTATTTCACCATCAGCTACATTTGCACCACTCCATTCTCTTCAACATTGTTGCATTCACGCAAATGGAAGCAAAGTATGGAAAGTGAAGTTAAAAACATCTGTAAGACCAAGTACTTGTGGGTGGGCTCTGCTGATGCTAGTACCCTGCACTACTTCCTAGAATTATTGGAAAAAAATAAGTAGCAAAATTATGACTATTAAAAACAAGACCTGCAAACATATTCTGCACAAATAAAAATTTTGCTCACTGTAGCGCATTCTTGCCTATCTCCTATATGTCCTTTTCCTTCCTTCAGGCTGCTACCCTAACTGCCCACCAGACAAGCCATATTTTCATGAGGACCAGATGAAGTGCGTTAGTCTCTGTGACTGTTATTATAACGAAGATGGAAAGATATACATACGGGATGAATGCCATGTATGGTAAGAATCAACATTCCAACCTAATCATGTACAAGGAAAAATAATCGAAACAGCAGTGGGAAATTGCATGCTCCCGTTACAGGACAGGACTAGTTAACACTGCCTGTGTAAACATAATATCTTACTATATAATGCCAGTTTTCTTACTACATTAGTAGGAAGAAGTTCATATGTGATTTTATGTTCAGTTGAATTTGTTCCTGGTTATGCTGTAAATCCTCCGCATAAAGATACAATAAGAACAGTAAGTCCTTTATGACGAGGCTTTCTCTATTTCCAATTCCTATGGCAGGAAAAATATTGTTCCAGGAGTATAAATGTATAATAGGGGTCTACTTCCAAGGATTTTATTACATTCTTATACCACTTGTAGTATTTAGACTCTTTCCCTCTTTAACCTCCCTTTTAGTACAAAAATATTGCAAGTACAAAGAAAGGACAAGACTTCCTCCTGTAGCTTTGCATAATACATAGCTTCACTTCTATTCGTAAGTTTGGGTTACTATAAAGAAAGATTTTAGAAAATTACAGGAAAAGGAAAAAACCCAACACGAACTGGACATTCAAGGAATAAACACAAATAAAGTGTCCTGTACTTTGATGCAAGTATCTGGCAGAACAAGATGATTAATAAAATTATCTCATAATAAAAAAATATGGAGATTTATATTTTTTCAGTGGTTTTTTTTTTTTAATTCTCATTTCAGTGAATGCACATCAGATGGTTTAGAGTGCAAGTTTGATGATAAAGGTAAGACAGCTAAGAACTATTAAGAAAATAAAATACTGGATATTATCTTTTCATAGATGCCTGATAGTAAACTTCCTTTGAATTACAGCATGCCACTGCATTTATGAAGGGAACAACTATAAATATGGTGAAGTCATCTACAACACCACAGATGGAACTGGATGGTGTTTCACTGCAACATGTGATGTCAATGGAACAATTAGCAGAAATATCTCTAAATGTGGCATCTTTACAACAACCCCATTTCCTTTTCTTACAAGTCAGTTCGAAACTACTGCTTCAGGTATGCATGAATACTCTTTAAAATAACTGAAAAAATGTCTGGAAGGGATGGAAAATTGCTAAAATGGAGGGCCCTTTCATTAGTTAAGGACATAAAATTTTACTTGAAACTGTTTACTCCCAGTGAAACCACCAATTCTTTTGGCAGGTTCAGTTGCTAAAGATGACCATAATCGAGGATGTAGAAATGAGTACAGCAATTCTTACAAACTCAGTCTGCACTGTTTCACCATGTTTTTTCCAAGGGAAAAAAATTAATACATCTTACTAATCATTGCACCTTGGAGAACCTCCTCATTTCCTTGCATACAAAACCCAGCAGTTCTAGACAGACTTCAGAAAACACAAGAGACTGCCATTTTTTAAATAACTGACTACATTAGCGCAAACTGAAGATAAGACATCTAACTTGAGGACATGCTCAAATTACTTAAAACAATTCTCTGGAACCTTTCCCAATTGTATATAAAAACTAAATCAATAGTTGCCTTCTAGTCCTGCAGTACAATTCTATATTATTCCTGCAGTTAACTTATTACAGTGACCATGTAATTCTGAGAAATTGTGCAAAGTATTTCCACAAAATTATACAATATGTCAGCAAGAACTAAACATTGAACTTTAAGACTTCTATTAAGTAACATCCGTCTGAAGAAAGTGGCATATATTCCACATGGTTATCTTTAAAATGCTAAGAATATGAAAAGAAATATGCAAAAAAGACTAATTAGATTATATATTTCCTATATATTATGTTAGTGGATTCCATATTATAATGTATTATATATAAAATACATATGTTAAATATATATCTTATATTTATAAATATATTACAGGTTACATTAACAGAAGTAGAAAACTCATTAACCCGGAAAAATATTTCAAAGCCTCTGTGCTTATGCAGTTAAGTGCAAATAAGTACAGAGGTAATACCAAGGAGAATAAAACCTCCTCTTACTTAAACCATAGCAATCATGAGATCACATTATCCTATATATTGCTGTTCCACATTAGCTATATTTACATGCAGCATTTAATAAATGTCATATAAATTATCACTAGAAAAAGAATACAAAAATCAGATCAAAACATACCTGAGAAATTAAATTCAAAACTGTAAAAGCAATATCGTTAGAATTAAAAGACTAAATTAACATATATGATATTAGATCCAACATTAACAAATATGGAAGATGAGCCCTGGCACTGTCTTTAATAAAAATAGATGAGACTTATATTTCCTCAATTTCATTACAGAAATGACAACTGCAGCACCAGTGACAACTGTATGTGTGAAGAATATATGTTTGTGGTCAGAATGGTATGACTGCACACAGCCTGAAAATAAAGAGGATAGTGGAGATTATGAAACATTTGAAAATCTCAGAGAAAAAGGATACAGTGTGTGTAAAAACCCAAACAATGTTCAATGCAGAGCCAAAGAACACCCAAATATAGAAATAAACAATCTTAACCAAACAGTTAAATGTAGTCTCAGTACAGGATTAATATGCAATAACAAAGACCAGCAATCTAAGCACTGCTATAATTATGAAATCAGAATATTATGCTGCAGTTACATACCATGTTCAGAATTACCAACTATGACGGCAAGAACCACAGAATTCACAACTACTGCTGTAAAATCAACACCATTCACAATAAAAACAAAGACACAACAAACAGCAAAACATGCAGTAACTGAAGTAACTACACAATAGTGCCCACATCAGAAGCCAGCAGTGCAATCAGCACTTCCAGGACCACCAAAGGAAGCACCACAACGTCCACATCCACATCAACTCCAGCACAAACGTCCTCTCTGCCAACCCAGGCTCCATCAGCACACAGCACTGCCACCAGCCTCAACCCATCAGCAACAACAACCACCACTGGCAGCACTAGAGTCCCCAGTAGCACTGCACCAGTAACAGGAGGCACAACAATCATGCCTACCACCACCATGGCCATCACAACAAGGACAGCTGCACCTCCAACAGAAGGAACAACCAGGACAACCACAGGAAGCACAACAAAGTCCAGATCCACCTCTACTTCAGCACAAATCTCCAATCCCCCAACACCATCTCCAACAGCACACAGTACTGCAATCAGCCTCAGTCCATCAACAAGGATAACCACCACTGGCACCACCATTGTCCCCAGTAGCACTACACAGCCAACAGAAGGCACAAGCATCATCACTACCACCAGCACGGCCAGCACCACCAGGACCTCTCCACCTCCAACAGAAGGAACCACCATCATCACACCCACTACAACATCACAAACCTCAGCCAGTAGCACTATCAGCACTTCCAGGATCACCACAGGAAGCACCACAACGTCCACATCCACATCGACTCCAGTTCAAACATCCACTTCTCCAACCCACACTCCAACATCTCATAGTAGTGTCACCAGCCTCAGCCCATCAACAACGACAACCACCACTGGCACTACCGTAGTTCCCAGTAGCACGGCACTGCCAACAGAAAGCACGAGCACCGTCCCTTCCACCAGCACGGCCAGCACCACCAGGACCTCTCCACCTCCAACAGAAGGAACAGGCACCATCACACCCACTCCGACACAGACAACCTCAGCTACAGCCACCACTCTCAGCACCTCCAGGACCTCTACCACCTGCCAGCCACAGTGTGTCTGGACTCAGTGGTTTGACGTGGATACCCCCAGCCCCGGGAGTGAAAATGGAGACATAGAGACATTTGAAAGCATCCGAGCCGCTGGGTACACACTGTGTGACCAGCCACAAGACATCAAGTGCCGCGCTAAAGATTACCCTTCTAGGAGTCTGGACAAGTTGGGACAGGTCTTTCAGTGCAGCATCGAATTTGGCCTTGTGTGCAAAAATGAGGATCAGATCACAAAGTACCCCCTGTGCTTCGACTATGAGATTCAGGTGCTCTGTTGTGACACTAAAACCTGCGTGGACACATCAACAACTACAGGTACCACTGCAGGATCCTCCACCACAGCCTCTCCAACACAAACCTCCACTCCACCAACACACTCTCCAACAGCACACAGTACTGACACCAGCCTCAGACCATCAACAACGACAACCACCACTGGCACCACCATTGTCCCCAGTACCACTGCACCGCCAACAGAAGGCACGAGCATCGTAACTACCACCAGAACGGCCAGCACCACCAGGACCTCTCCACCTCCAACAGAAAGAACCACCGTCGTCATACCCACTACAACATCACACACCTCAGCCAGTAGCACAATCAGCACTTCCAGGACCACCACAGGAAGCACCACAACGTCCACATCCACATCGACTTCCGTTCAAACATCCACTTCTCCAACCCACGCTCCAACATCTCATAGTACTGCCACCAGCCTCAGCCCATCAACAACGACAACCACCACTGGAACTACCATAGTCCCCAGTACAACGCCAACAGAAAGCACGAGCACCGTCCCTTCCACCAGCACGGCCAGCACCACCAGGACCTCTCCACCTCCAACAGAAGGAACCACCATCGTCACACCCAGTAGAACATCACAAACCTCAGCCAGTAGCACTATCAGCACTTCCAGGACCACCAAAGGAAGCACCACAACATCCACATCCACATCAACTTCCGTTCAAACATCCACTTCTCCAACCCACGCTCCAACACCACAAAGTACTGCCACCAGCCTCAGCCCATCAACAACGACAACCACCACTGGCACTACCATTGTCCCCAGCAGCACTACACCGCCAACAGAAAGCACGAGCACCGTCACTACTACCAGCACGGCCAGCACCACCGGGACCGCTCCACCTCCAACAGAAAGAACCACCATCATCACACCCACTACAACATCACACATCTCAGCCAGTAGTACGATCAGCACTTCCAGGACCACCACAGGAAGCACCACAACGTCCACATCCCCATCAACTCCTCCACAAACATCCTCTTTGCCAACCCAGGCTCCAACATCACAAAGTACTGCCACCAGCCTCAGCCCATCAACAACGACAACCACCACTGGCACTACCATAGTCCCCAGCAGCACTGCACCGCCAACAGAAAGCACAAGCGCCATCACTACCACCAGCACGGCCAGCACCACCAGGACCTCTCCACCTCCAACAGAAAGAACCACCATCATCACACCCACTACAACATCACACATCTCAGCCAGTAGTACGATCAGCACTTCCAGGACCACCACAGGAAGCACCACAACGTCCACATCCACATCGACTCCAGTTCAAACATCCACTTCTCCAACCCACGCTCCAACATCTCATAGTACTGCCACCAGCCTCAGACCATCAACAACGACAACCACCACTGGCACTACTGTAGTCCCCAGTAGCACAGCACTGCCAACAGAAAGCACAAGCACCATCACTACCACCAGCACGGCCAGGACCACCGGGACCTCTCCACCTCCAACAGAAAGAACCACCATCATCACACCCACTACAACATCACACATCTCAGCCAGCCACCACTCTCAGCACCTCCAGGACCACAGGAAGCACCACCGTCCACATCCAGTGTGTCTGGACTCCAGTTCAAACATCCACTTCTCCAACCCAGCTCCAACATGGAGACATAGAGACATTTGTCACCAGCCTCAGCCCATCAACAACGACAACCACCAGCCCCACGGCACTGCCAACAGAACCTCTCCACCTCCAACAGAAAGAACCACCAGCATCACACCCACCTTCAGCCGCCAGGTAGGAACAGGCACCATCACACCCACTCCGACACAGACAACCTCAGCTACAGCCACCATCAGCACCTCCACTGTGTGTGTGACCAGCCACAAGACATCAAGTGCCGCGCTAAAGATTACCCTTCTAGGAGTCTGGACAAGTTGGGACAGGTCTTTCAGTGCAGCATCGAATTTGGCCTTGTGTGCAAAAATGAGGATCAGATCACAAAGTACCCCCTGTGCTTCGACTATGAGATTCAGGTGCTCTGTTGTGACACTAAAACCTGCGTGGACACATCAACAACTACAGGTACCACTGCAGGATCCTCCACCACAGCCTCTCCAACACAAACCTCCACTCCACCAACACACTCTCCAACAGCACACAGTACTGACACCAGCCTCAGACCATCAACAACGACAACCACCACTGGCACCACCATTGTCCCCAGTACCACTGCACCGCCAACAGAAGGCACGAGCATCGTAACTACCACCAGAACGGCCAGCACCACCAGGACCTCTCCACCTCCAACAGAAAGAACCACCGTCGTCATACCCACTACAACATCACACACCTCAGCCAGTAGCACAATCAGCACTTCCAGGACCAGCAAAGGAAGCACCACAACGTCCACATCCACATCAACTTCCGTTCAAACACCCAGTTCTCCAACCCACGCTCCAACACCACAAAGTACTGCCACCAGCCTCAGCCCATCAACAACGACAACCACCACTGGCACCACCATTGTCCCCAGTACCACTGCACCGCCAACAGAAGGCACGAGCATCGTCACTACCACCAGCACAGCCAGCACCACCGGGACCTCTCCACCTCCAACAGAAAGAACCACCATCGTCACACCCACTACAACATCACACATCTCAGCCGGTAGTACAACCAGCACTTCCAGGACCACCAGAGGAAGCACCACAACGTCCACATCCACATCAACTCCAGTTCAAACATCCTCTTCTCCAACCCAGGCTCCAACATCACACAGTACTGCTACCAGCCTCAGCCCGTCAGCAACTACCATCACCACTGGCACCCGCATTTTCTCCAGTACTACTGCACTGCCAACAGAAGTTACGAGCATCATCACTACCACCAGCACGGCCAGCACCAGCAGGATCTCTCCACCTGCAACAGAAGGAACCACCATCGTCACACCCAGTCCATCAGTGCCTACGTTAGCCAGCAGCACCACCAGCTCAAAGCCCTCCACAACATCCACATCTACCTCTACTCCAGCACAAACATCCTCTCTGCCAACCCAGCCTCCAACACCACACATTACTGTTGTCAGTGTCAATCATTCAGCAACAACAACCATTCCTGCTTCACTGGGGCTCCGCAGTACCATTGCAGCGACAACACAAGGCACAACCACCATCACTACCACCAGCCCAGCCAGCACTACCAGGACCTCTCCACCTCCAACAGAAGAAACAACCACGACAACCATCACTAGAGTACCCACCTCAGCAGTCAGCAGCAGTAGCACCTCAAGGACCACCACAGGAGGCACCACGACATTCATGTCTGGTCCATCAGAAACATCCACTCTGGCAACTGAGGCTCCAACTTCACACATTACTGCCTCCAGCCATCACCCTTCAGCAACAACGACCATATTTTCTACACACATCCCTGCTACATCTGTTTCTTCTACTGCACTAAGTACTGTCACAATTCCCAGAATTTTCTCTACCACCAGCATCCCAGGTATGTCTTTCTTTGCCACTGAAAGTGTTCCAAACATCTATCTCTGTAGAATATCATTTGTTTCATTGTCTTCTGTAAGTTGTATCTCCAAATTATTCTGTGATCATCTCTTATGTTTCGTAACACACAAACCACCAAGTTGCATAATGCTAGATGCTATTCAGAACAAAGACTTTCACAATCTCTACTTAGCCATACATCAAATAGTTTAATGCAATAAAAATGTTGACTTGATTTTCCTGAATGTTTAACATCACCCTTTAATATATTAAGATCATGAGATGAAAATCCTGCGCTGCAGTTTTTCTTTTTTTTTTTTTTAACAGTAACAACATCTGCTACACCACAATCAAGTCATGTTACAAGAAGCACTTCTCCAATCTTCAGTTCTATCTCCAGCACACCTGTCACAACAGAAGCAAGTACATTTGTATCATCAATTGGAACGACTCCATGTTTTTGTCATGTATTTGGTAAATTTTTTTCTCCTGGTAAGTGTCTTATTTTATGATTATAAATACTTTTGGAAATAATATAACCTCTTAATACTCTTTCCAATTTAAGACAACTGCTCAGTATCACTTCAACACAGAACTTTGTATATATGTATACACTTTATATTTTCACAATATTTTCTTGAGGTTTTTCCCTTAAGTATTTTCACTGGTCTTTTAATTTCTCCTCCAATTTTCCCCTACAGGGGAAGTGATATACAACAGAACAGATGGCGCTGGCTGTAATTTTTATGCACTTTGCAGTAAGGAATGTGAAACTGACCCATACCAGGGGCCATGTCCTTCTACAACACCTTTCACTTCGACACAAGCCACCTCATCCACAGAACATGGATTTTCTTCTGTCTCACAGACAACAGCAACATCCATCACAACTTCAGGAGCAAGAAACTGTACTGCTGTCAATCCTCTGCGAAAGGTGGTTCCCCTCATTATTTTCTAATATATCACTATTGCAAAATGAGCCCAATTTCTGTCCTAAAGCCCCAACTGAAATCAACTTGTATGTATTCCAATAACTAAGTTGGCCATGTTCCAAATGACCTGACAGCATGCAATTCTTCCACCTGGCATTACCAGGTTTTTATATAATCTGGAGGTAGAAAAGCTTATTAACACCACAGCAGAGCCTTTTTTTTCTTTTTAAATAAAAAACATTTAAATGTCACAGAAACAAGCAGACCAGCTATGAAAGTATTAAAACCTCATTCTTTTTACGAAGAAGAGTGTTCCATGGTTCTTCTCAGCCTGACTTCTCTTAAGGCCCGAAATCATATGCTATGAAAACTAATATGAACTCCCTACCAATTTTGAGAGTATATCTCGTTGAAACAGAAGAACTAGGGTGAGAGAGCACTTGACAATAATTATGTAAATATTTTTAGCCTGGAGAGCACTGGATAAGTGAATGCCAGAAGTGTGTCTGCGACAACCTCACTGCTATCATACAATGCCAGCCGATTCTATGCCCAACAGCTCAGACACCAATTTGTGACCTCGGATTTGCTCCTGCGCCTGTACTACCACCAAAAGACTCATGTTGTCCTGAATATCATTGCCGTAAGTATTAAAAATACATATATAAATACCAGACTACACAACCTGGTAAATGACATTTGCACTTCTGTTAGTATCTAAGCAAGTTTTTCATGTATCACAGCAACAGCAAAACCTTCCTCAAATTGTTTTGGCTCTGTGAACATGTATCAACTTTTGGCTAAACATGTATTAGAAGTTTATTTAAAAGCAAAATGCTTTTTTCAGTGAAGTCTGCTGAGAATTGGTATCAGTGGGAAAACAGGATAATACTTTGAACCTTCAAGTGGTCTATGTAAGCTCAACCATGTCTGTATCTGTAATAATAAAGGTTATTATTTTTTTAATGTTATTAACGTAATGTTGGAACACATTAATATTAACCTAATTGTAGCTAAACTGAGATCCGTAAACATATAAAGCCAGCAGAAAGTTTAACAGTTAACTACAAAAGCAAGTAACACATAGCAATAATACAGTGAATTGTAATCAGTAACTGAGTTGTAATCAGTAACTGAATTGTCAATGTATGAAAAATAATTACACTGTTGTTGAATGCTCATGAAAATTCAAAAATCAAACAGATACATGTTTTTTTATATACAAAAATTTCTATATACTTATTTTACTCATATATTTATACAAAAGAATAAAAAAGAAGCCATAAATTAAACGCAAAACAGGAACATCAAAACAAAGGAACAGCCAGTTTGAAGTAGTTCTGTGAAGACATGAATGGGCTCTGCCATGTTGCTAAATTGTTTATATTATCACAGTAAGGTTATCTTTTTTTCCACCCAGAATCAACCTTCCACCTAAGCCATTTTCTGAGAGGTCATAAGGAATAGCAACAAACACACCTTTGAAGTTTACTGGACTTCTAGAGTTCAAAGAGGAAACGGTTAATTTAATTTGAAGTGAACTTGGTATTAAAAGGGAAACAAAGAGATTTTATTCATGCATAGCCAAGTTTTAAGCCATTCCTCCTCCTCTTCTAGCTAATTTCGAAGATGAAACTTTACTTAAACATCCAGCTATACTAAATATGAAGTATAAGAATGTAGGGTCGAGTTCAGGTTTTCCATGATCTCTGACTTACTAACAAACTTGGTGATGACTTCTCAGGGAGTCTCACGATTTGAGCTTACTGCAGAATTATTTTTTGTTTGTTTTTCAGAACCAATAGATGGCATCTGTGTGATTAACGGTACAATGTACACGGTGAGAAAGTTATAGTGATATACTGCTGGAAGCTAAATGCACACCCTTTTTGCCAAAATAAGCCTTTGAGAAAGTTCTTTTCCCAATACATGTTTTTTTCTTTCTAGCCCTTAACTGGAAGGTACTTCTTTTCTAATGTCAAAACCAAAATTACCACACAACTGTTCTTTCAACATCAAGCATGAAATAGGAGTAACATTTTCAGTGATATACTTTCTTTTAAAACGATCTCCCACTTCTGGAATTCACGAATTTTCCAAATGAGCTGATGAATAGCCCAAACTCAACCACTCTTTGAAATAAGTTCAGAGAACCTTCAAAACTAAAACTATGATTTCTGCTTTAATCAATACCTAAATCTTTTTCCAAAATTGGTACTTAGGTCATTTAGTCAAAATATAAGCACTAGCACTGGAGCCTTTTGGGGATACATTTCTGGAAGACAAAATCCATGCATAGATTTCTATTTATACTTAGGTATCTGCATAAGTATACCACTATTTTAATCTACGTTTGTAAATTATAATTGTTTTATAACCACTGAACATGACTTACAGGGAAAAAAAATCTTAAAAGGAGCAATGAAAATCTGGTAAAACAATGAGGCAGTGCAAATCAGTCTTACCTGCATCTTATTAATTTACTTTTCTCTTTTGTATTGCTTCATAGTTTTCTCCTAATGTGTACTTTCTTGCAAGACATAAAGCCAAACAACTTTACCTTTGACAAGAATCAGTTGCACTTGCATTTCAGCAATGCTTTCAATTCTGCCTATACATTTTATAGAAATTCTTGTCATCTGAGGGTAATTTTCTGTCTTCCAGGTTGGAATGTCGACAGTCATCAATCCATGCAAGAATTGTACCTGCACTTCTGAGAAAGATCCAGTGAATAATACTAATACTGTGCACTGTGAAACAGTTCAATGTGAAACATCTTGCCCGCTGGTGAGTTCAAATTCTCTGGGCTGCCCAGTCAGCCCACTATTAAAGGAAGACTAGAATTTTGCATGACCAACTCAACATACTTTCTCTTTCATCTCCTTGTGAGTAGGGTTATCAATACATGACTGAGGATGGAGAGTGCTGTGGGGAGTGTATTGAAGTAGCTTGCATAATCAAACTAAATAATAACACCGTTCACATGCTCCGAGTAAGTATTCCTTTAATTTTTAGATCTATTAGCTAATACAGGTTACAACAGCTAAGAGTCAATTAATTTCCCTTAATAACAAAAATCTAGTTAATATTAAAATTATTCTGAAAACAATGCATGCGCTTCCTGAATTGAATACTTCCTTGGAACAACACATTCTTGATACGTGTGGTTAACTTGGCAATAGGTTCTAATTTGTACTTTGAGTGTTCAGATCCAGGATTTAAGCTTTCAAACTAGCCATAGGTTTGCAAAATTTTGCTTTTGCCACTTGAAAGAAGTTCAGAAGCATCTGAGAATCTTTGAGGCATGAGAATTTAATTGGCTCAGGCACTTGTGAGGTAATCATCCTATATTTGATCACAATGAAAAAAAACTGTTTCCTTTTCTGATAAAATCTTAGGTTGATGATGTCCTGTCAATCGATAACTGCACCCAGTACAAATGTGAAAAAATTGAAGATCAATTTGTTGCAGTCCAAACTAAAAAAATATGCCCTGAGTACAACCCAGAAGAGTGTGATCCTGTAAGTTTCACTCAGTTCATCAATTAAACACAGTTTAAAACTTGGGAGTGGGAGGGGGGAAACGGGACGACAATACAGACACGAAGACAGGCAAAGAAGAGTACAAAAAAGCACTTCCACTGAAGTTGCAGGAATGTCTTCAGAATTAAATTAATCTTACTGTAGCATTAGTAATAAGAAAATGTTAGTGCTTTTACATGAGGCTACCAGGATTCAAGACTTCTATGGTGGGCACATTAAGTCATCCATCATTTTCATTCAGTGTTCATCACAGATGAGTCATCTGCCCAGTATCAGTAATGCCAACACATACTCTTACTCATAACTGCCATCTGTGCATTAATCCATACCCTTCTCCTTTCCCTTTGTAAAGGACGAAACAGAGACTACTCCTGATGGGTGCTGCAAAATATGTAAACGTAAGTAATGCTGTGTTTGTGTTTTCTGCTTGAAGAGTGCTGTATTCAACTTGTAACTGCCTTTGAGTAGACAGGATTTTTCACTCCTCCAGTTTTCTCTTACTCTATCAATATCCTGTGTTTCACTATTTATTCAAAAGGAAAAAGCAAACTTGTTTTCTTGATAGTGAATACCACAATTCAAAATTCAGTGCTCAAGCCTCTGCATTATCTTCCAAAGACCCTATGCAGCCAAGATCAAAGAATAATCTGAAAACTCCAGGCACTTTACACAGTATCCCCCATCACATACTGTACATTCTTAATAATTGGACATCATGCATTTTGAAATTGTTTTAGCACTCAGTTCTGAACTAGAGATCTGAATTCTATGTTTTTTCCCCCTCTTTTTATGAAGCTACAAACTGCAAAGTTTATAGCAAAAAGAATGTGATCCGCCTCGGTGACTGTGAATCTTCAGTACCTGTCGAGCTGACGTATTGTGAAGGAACTTGCCCTGGCTCCTCAGTGTAAGTTTCAGAATCTTGACATCTCTATGGCTTCATTCATACTTTATTTATACTGGTCTCTCATGTTAATCAATAGCCCAAGCTTACTGAGGAACCTGGTGGAAGTGTTCACCAAGCCACTTTCAATCATTTATCAGCACTCCAGGCTAACTGGGAAGATCCCAGTTGACTGGGAGTTTGTAAATGTGACACCTATCCACAATAAGGGCCAGAAAGAGGATCCAGGGAACTACAGGCTTGTCAGTCTGACCTCCCCTGCCAAGGAAGGTGATAGAGCAGATCAACTTGAGTGCCATCATATGGCACATGCAGGACAATCAGCTGATCAGGCCCAGTCAGCAGGGGCAGGTCCTGCTTGACAAACCTGGTCTCCTCCTAAGACAAGGTGACCTGGGTAACCTGCGTAGTGGATGAAGGAAAGGCTGTTGATGTTGTTTACCTGGACTTTGGAAAAGTCTTTGACCATTTCTCACAGTATTCCCCTGGAGAAACTGGCTGCTCACGCTTGGACAGGTATACTCTTTGCTGGGTAAAAAACTGGCTGAATGGAGTTAAATGCAGTTGGCAGCTGATAACAAGTGGGATGCCCCAGGGCTCAGGGTTAGGCCAGTTCTGTTTAATATCTTTATCAGTGGCCTGGATGAGAGGATCAAGTGCACCCTCATTAACTTTGCAGACAACACCAAGTTGGGTGGGAGTGTTGATCTGCTGGAGGGCAGAAAGGCTCTACAGAGGGATCTGGACAGGCTGGATCAATGAGCTGAGGCCAGTGGTATGAGGTTCAACAAAACCACTGGGTCTTGCATTTGGACTACAACAATCTGATGCAATACTACAGGCTTGAGCAAGAGTGGCTGGAAAACTGCTTGGTGGAAAAAGACCTCAGGGTGCTGGCCAACAGCTGTCTGAACATGAGCCAGCAGCATGCCCAGGTGGCCAAAAAGGCCAACACCATCCTGGCCTGTATCAGAAATAGTGAAGAAAGCAGGACTAGGAAAGTGTAAGTTCCTTTGTACTTGGCCCTGGTGAGGCTACACCTTGAATGCTGCATTCAGTTTTGGGCCCCTCACTACAAGAAAAACATTGAGCTGCTGCAGCATGTCCAAAGAGCAATGAAGCTGGTGAAGGGTCTAGAGAACAAGTCTTAGGAGGGAACCAAGTTATTTTAGGCTGAAGAAAAGGAGACTGAGGGGAGACCTTATTGCTCTCCACAACTACCTGAAAGGAGGTTGCAATGAGGCGGGTACTTGTCTCTTTTTCCCAGCTAAGAAGCAACAGTCCAAGTGGAAATGGCCTCAAGTTGTGCCAGGGGAGGTTTAGATAGGGTATTATGAAAAATTTCTTCACCAAGAAGGTTGTCAAGCACTGGAACAGGCTGCCCAGGGAAGTGGTAGAGTCACCATCCCTGGAGGTATTTGAAAGACACGTAGAAGCGGTGCATAGGGACATGGTTTAGTGGTGGGCTTGGCAGTGTCAGGACTCACGATCTTAAGGGTCTTTGCCAACCTCCATGATTCTATGATCACAGAATAGCAACAAAGTTAATGTGTTTATATGATGTTACTGAGTGGAATCGGAGTCAATGGACACCAGAAAGTTTCACTACTGAAGAGACAGGTAATTAAAATTACATTCATAAGTGTGTGTGGGAAGGAGGAAGAGAGGATGTAAAAAAGAGAAACCAAACCCAAACCCACTCCCAAGCCCCCCAAGAAACACAAAAACAAAGCTCACTCCAGGGTTTCAGAGTTTTGAATGAGAAGATATATTTTCTTCCCTGGCGGAACACAGGTATTCTTTTGAAGCAAACCAGATGCAACACGACTGCGGCTGCTGCCAGGAGTTCAGCAGCCAAACAAAAGAGGTGACCCTGACTTGCCCAGATGGAACAAGCATGAATTATAGCTATGTTTACGTGGATCAATGCCAGTGTATGAATGCGTGCACCTCAGACACCTCTGCAGCATCTGATTCCCAACAGAAAATCAGCAGACGAAAGAGATGATCGCTAGAAAGTCTAGAGTCTAGGGAAGGTGGAATCTTGTTTTCTCCACAATAACTTGTGCTCCTTCTTTAATAGATCGCATGTCGGTTTCTGTTATCACCTTTTCTCATTTCTTACTTGTAAAAGAATATAAATAAAAGTCAAATAATTAAATCTTAGTGGGGTTATTTTAAGTGATAACAATATTCAGGAGTAAAAACAAGACTAAAACATCTTGTGTCAATTATAGAAATATGACAATGTTTCATTCAATCACTGACATTTTTCAAAAAGTTTTAAGGTGTCTCAAAAAAAACCCCAGACCCCTCCCCAAAACATTGTCACTACATTGCACTTTACACTCTTGTGCCTAGAGAGCATTACTGCTTATCATTTTTATGGATATAGTAGCCCAGACATCCCAGAAACAGGTATATGACTGTTTCATTTGACACATAAAACTTTGAGCATTTTTCCATTTTGGTGATTGTTCAATACCCAGTTTCACTACCTAAATGATGGAGAGTCCAATGGCATCAGGGAGTTTTCCAACTCGGACGGGGTATGTTCTTTAGCAGCTTTTGGGAATGAAGACACACCCAAAACCCTTTTCCTGGATGAGGTTCTATTCTCTTACAATATAAAGCCTAATATCTTCCCTGAAGGCTTGGCTGAAAAATAAAGGAGGAACTGTTTGATCAAGTAATTGCATGTTTTATATGTGCTTATTTAGAAGGGAAATTTGATCCCTGCATTAAATCAGTGAAGCCCTACCTGTTGGCCCTCACAGGCATGACCTGATATGAGGATCAAACAGTGGGGAACAGTAGGAAGGTTTGTAAGCTTCACATTTTACTGCTGAACTCCATTAATCTGTTGACTGCCCATGGTTTGCCTGTCCCATAGCTGTCATGCAGGCTCCAGGCAGGGTAACTGACAGTGACAGCGGAGCAGATACAAGTACCACTCCCTCCACCTTCTCTTCTCTGATCCAGTAATAAGCCACTTTTCACTCAGAACCTGGGCTGTTTCACAATGTCACCAATGCATCCTCAGACCCTAAACACCAGGTATTGCTATCAGGAGACATCCAAACAGTCCTGAACAGAGGGACTAGTTGATCAAGCACTTTGACAGCTTTAGCATAGCTTCCCAGGTTTCTAACTTCCAGAGGGCTTAGCACTTAAGGCACAGCACCACAAAAACAGGGCGCCTGATGGGATCTAGAACCGTATTGCACTAAAAAACAGGATCTAGAACTGTAGTGCAGTGAAAAAACAGCACTGCTGGCTGCAGATGGGCTTCCTGAGAGGCATTTGCGTATGCCAGCCACATTAGGCCAAGGAAATCTGCATGCTTCCCCCTTACTCCCTAGTTCCTATATTCTGCGTATCACAGTATCACACAGTATCACAGTATGCTAGAGATTGGAAGGGACCTCAAAAGATCATCCAGTCCAATCCCCCTGCCGGAGCAGGAACACCTAGATAATGTTACACAGGAATGTGTCCAGGCGAGTTTGAATGTCTCCAGGGAAGGAGACTCCACAACCTCCCTGGGCAGCCTGTTCCAGTGTTCCGTCACCCTCACTGAGAAGAAGTTTCTTCTCAAGTTTAAGTGGAACCTCTTGTGTTCCAGTTTGTACCCATTACCCCTTGTCCTATCATTGTTTGCCACTGAGTAGAGCCTGGCTCCATCCTCGTGACACTCCCCCTTTATACATTTATAGACACTAATAAGGTCACCCCTCAGTCTCCTCTCCTCTAAACTATAGAGACCCAGCTCCCTCAGTCTTTCCTCATAAGGGAGATGCTCCACTCCCTTAATCATCTTGGTTGCCCTGCGCTGGACTCTCTCCAGCAGCTCCCTGTCCTTCTTGAACTGAGGGGCCCAGAACTGGACACAATATTCCAGATGCGGCCTCACCAGGGCAGAGTAGAGGGGAAGGAGGACCTCTCTCGACCTACTAACCACCCCCCTTCTAATACACCCCAGGATGCCATTGGCCTTCTTGGCCACAAGGGCACAGTGTTGGCTCATGGTCATCCTGTCGTCCACTAGGACCCCCAGGTCCCTCTCCCCTACACTGCTCTCTAGCAGGTCGTTTCCCAACCTATACTGGAACCTGGGGTTGTTCCTGCCCAGATGCAGGACTCTACACTTTCCCTTGTTATATTTCATCAAGTCATTCCCTGCCCAACTCTCCAGCCTGTCCAGGTCTCACTGGATGGCAGCACAGCCTTCTGCTGTGTCAGCCACTCCTCCCAGCTTAGTGTCATCAGCAAACTTGCTGATAGTACACTCAATTCCCTCATCTAAATCGTTGATGAATATAGTAAATAATACTGATCCCAGTACTGACCCTTGAGGCACTCCACTACTTACAGGCCTCCAACTAGACTCTGCCCCATAGACTGCAACTCTGGCTTCTCTCCTTCAGCCAGTTCACAGTCCACCTCACTACCTGATCATCCACACCGCACTTCCTCAATTGAGACGTGAGGATGCTGTGGGAGACTGTGTCAAATGCTTTGCTGAAGTCAAGGTAGACCACATCCACCGCTCTGCCATCATCCATCCACCGTGTTATTTCCTCATAAAAGGCTAAGAGATTGGTCAAGCATGATTTCCCCTTGGTGAAGCCATGTTGACTGCCCCTCATAACCCTCTTATCCTTGATATGCCTTAAGATTGCACCAAGGATAAGGTGTTCCATCACTTTCCCAGGGATGGAGGTGAGGCTGACCGGTCTATAGTTACCCGGGTCCTCCTTCTTGCCCTTTTTGAAGACTGGAGTGACATTTGCTTTCCTCCAGTCCTCAGGCACCTCTCCCGTTTCCCAAGACTTGGTAAAGATGATGGAGAGTGGTCTAGCAATGACTTCCGCCAGCTCCCTCAGCACCCGCGTGTGCATCCCATCTGGACCCATGGATTTATGGATGTCCAGATTGCTCAACTGGTCTCTAACCCATTCCTCATCGACTAAGGCAAACCGCTCCATTGACCTGACTTCATCTGAGGTCTCAGGGGTACAGGGCTCTTCAGGACTGCCTGCAGCAGAGTAGACAGAGACAAAGAAGGCATTCAGTAACTCTGCCATCTCTGTATCTTCTGTCACCAGGGCACCCATCCCGTTCATCAGTGGGCCTACACTGCCTCTGGTGTTAGTTTTATCTGCCATGTATTTGAAAAAGCTCTTTTTGCTGTCCTTGACCCTTCTCGCCAGGTTTAATTCTAAGGAGGCCTTAGTCCTCCTAGCTGCCTTCCTACATCCTCTAGCAGCAGCCTTATATTCCTTCCAAGTGGCCAGCCCCTCCTTCCATGACCTGTAAACTCTCCTCTTCCACTTGAGCATACCCAGCAATTCCCTATTTAGCCACGCAGGTCTCCTGGCCCTCTTCCTTGACTTCCTACGTGTCGGGATGCTCTGATCTTGAGCTCGGAAAATGCAATCCTTGAATGCCAACCAACTATCTTGGGCCCCTTTACCTTCAAACAGCCTTGCCCATGGGATTTCCCCTAGCAATTGCTTGGGTACTTAGCACCATGTTCGCCAGTTAAAAACTTCCCATTCCTCCTCTGGAGGTTTTCCTCTACTGTTTCAAACACTCTGCTACCATGTCAGCAGTACACTCCAGCTCAAGTCCTAAGCTGCCCTCTAACGGTCATTATTCACTTTTCTAAACCAGGAACTATTATTCCCTTAATTCTACTGGGAACAAGAACCCTTGTGGACCATGTTCATCCATCAGAGATCAATTATTTTAGCATATGAATTTTATTTTTAATTCGAAATTCCCATATTATGGAGGACGTCAAGGCAATTTCTCAAAGCTGAACACCACATCATTTCCAGGTAGCTAAGTTACATAGGACTTCAACTTGAAGATGCCATTGCAATCCTCACTGATCACGTACAGCATTCATAAAAAAAAAAAACACACCAAAAAAAAAACCCCAAAACAACATCACCACCTCCCCAACCTGAAAACAAAAATAAACCCAACAGAATTCGCTATTTAGAAGACAGAATCTTGATAAGAGGGGGTCTGGGGGCTTGACTTGTTTTGTTGTTTGATGTTGTGTCCCACCTACCCCCCAGTCTGAAAACCAGCCCACTGCAGAATGCTAGAAATTGGCTCTGTTCTCCCTAAAATATTTTTCCTTTTTTAAGGGAAATCTATTATTGTCCCTTTTTTTTCTCAAGCCTACATGGAAGAAAACCTGGGGATTTTGCCCTCTTAAGTAAATGGGATTCAGGAGACAAACTTAGATTTCTCTTTGAAGAAAATGCTATGCTACAATTACAAGCCCAAGGAACCTCTAGAGATTACTTTAAAGCAGAGAAATCAGCTGAATAGAGAAGAAAAAAACAACCAACCAAAAAAAAAAAACAAAAAACAACCCACCAACATACCATTGCTTGATATGCAAGAAGTTATCATTTATGTTAAAAAATATCTAGCTATTATGTACTACATCAAGCTTCTTACAGCATGAAATGATAAAATGCACATACACCTTGAATTTTATGGCTAAATTTCCAAATATACGAACTGTACATTCACAGCAGCAAAACAGTTCGTTAGAAAACTACAGATTAATAAATTATATTTAAAATAAGAAATAGTATATAATACAAAATCAATCCAGAGCTTTCCTGTCATTTCCATGGGTTATCAAACCAATCAGGAAGTGCTGACTTTCCATCCTATGAGATTTACCATAAACAAATATACTGATGCTTCACTAAAAATTACTGCAGAAAAGCATTTACCTACATCAAGAAATAGAACACCACTTTTCTATTCCACCAACTAATTTCAGGGACTACTGCACCAGGGAACGTTATATAGTAAGATGCATATACGTGGCACAGCTACCCAGCCAGTGTATTTCATGGATCTGTCAATACTTCTAAACAAATCTGTCAGCCATCCTGAGAAACTTACGCAGCTTAGTGAATAAAGTGTCCTGCTATAAATAGAACCATTTACAAGTTTTATTGCCTGATGATCTAAATTGGGCAAATATGAAAGATATGCTGTTTTTCTGTAAAAGTGAGTGCTTTTGTGGAACTGTAATACTTAACCACACAAAAGACATTTGATAAGTTTCAGATCAATACCTATAATATATACCCAGACTTTATCAGCTGGAAGACAGAATTTGGT